GATATATTTTCAAGCAACACTATAATGAACTAGGCAAACTTCACTATATATATTGACTTGATGGATTCATTCCAGAACTCTGCTTTGTGTCTGTGTTTGATAAATGGTTCTGTTCACTTCTTGTTGAGTTTTTGTCACTTTTTTGTCACCTTTTTTCACTTTTTCGTGAAAAATGCCTTTTATGCATGATTTTTGTGTAAATGACCTCTCTGTTAAGCAAAAAATTGATTGCAATGGGATGCCTGCTCTTGGTGCCAAACCCTATACCATAAGTGGATTATTGTGGTTTCCTGATTAAAGGGAAAATGTGGGTTATTACATTTTTAGATAGAGCCTCCCTTTGTCTAGCATTGACTGGCCTAATCCATTTTATAGTCATTTTTATCTTGTGGTGTTATCTTAGTAAAGGTTCACCATTTTATTCTTATTCAACTCCCCCATATCTTTGTAATTGTCTAGTTCTGCTTGAGTCATCAATTTTTGCACCTCCTTATGTTTGCATAGTGTTTATGCTTTCAATAAAAATCTCACCTTGGAGTGATCTTACTCAAAACTCTCTAATTTTGTAGGTGATATATATGCCTCTTGTTTTGAGTAGATAAGCAGCTGGGTTTCAATATTCCGTGATGCTATGAACTTCTATGTTGAAATCTTATTACCATTCATTAAGAAACATTTGTCAAAGTGAAATGTATATGCCAAAATATTTGTGTCAAAGTTGACTTGCTCGATTGAATTGTTTTTGTTTTTCATATTTAAAAATTCGTATTCCAAATTATCGTAATTGTAAGAAAAATCATAAAGGGCCCATAAAGGTTGCGTTGTAAACGATGAATTTCAAGGGTTTAATTTGATTGGTTTGCCTTTATAAATGCTATCGATGTGTGAAATAGAATAATTTTACCACTATCTCATCTTTAATTAAGCAAATAGATTGAAAAGTGTTGATATCTCTAAATTTTTACCAAAAGTCTTAACAAAGTAAAATAAATACTAATTATTCGACGATAAAATCATCATCATACTATTTTTGCAACTCTTTTTTGAATTTCTATCACTTGTTTTTATTTGTGACTTTTTTTTAAAAAAATTCTGTTACTTTTTTGAATTTCGTTACTTTTTTGAGTGTTTGTCACTTTTTTGTTTTCTATCGCTTTTTTTGAATTTGTGTCACTTTTTTTAGTTGGTCACATTTTTTTTTTNTTTTTTTGGATTTGTGTCAATTTTTTGAGTTGGTCACATTTTTTTTTCCTGAATTTTGTCACTTTTTTAGTATTTGTTACTTTGAGAATTGGTTGTTAGTTCTGACGTGAATTTGAAAATCAGTGTAGCCCATTTTTTGAAAGTCATTGTTAGTTCTCTTTACTTTTAAATATAAGTCATTTCCTTATAATTTTATGGTTGCTTTTAATACTTTGATTTCCTGGTCTCCCAGGTGTCATATATTGATGCAAATGTTAACTCATGTATTGCGTGCTCGTGTAACTCATGGTTCTGATCAAAACTTTAACGTGAAGTATGCCAATATTGTAATGATTTTGTGTTTGATTATGTTTATAATGGGAACAGTTATTATGTAACAATACGATGGCCAGTTCCGTTTGTAATGATTTTGTGTTTGGATTGAATCAATTTTATGCAGGTTGTTGTTTGGCATTTTCAGTTGTAGTTGAAATTGAATTTGCATAAAATGATATATTTTAAGGTTTTGATTGATTTTGTCATTTTTTTGAATTTATGTCACTTTTTTTAATAGTGTGTCACCTTTTTTTTTTAAAAAAAAAATTTCTATCTCTTTTTTGAATGACATACATCATTTTTTAATAAAAGTGATATTGTATATTAACACTTAACTTTATACGGTATTTTTTACTTCCAAAAAACTTTTTATATTATAAATGGGTTGGCTGAGTTGGTAGATGACGTTGGCGGTGAATCAACTTAAAGATGTTTGGCGCTTTCATTGGTATTTTGTCGGTGAATTGATTTAAAGATACTTAGTAGTGAACGAAGAAAGATGAGGGACGGTGGTTGTGTCAATTTTTTGTCACTTTGTTGAACTGGTTACAATGCTTTAATTGGTGTTTGACACTTTTTAAACTTTTATCATTTTTTAGTGGTTGTCATTTTTTTTGAATTTTGTCACTTTTTTAATGTTTGTTACTTTTTTTTTTTGTCAATTCTTTGGAATTTCTATCACTTTTTCGAATAACAAACATTATTTTTAAATAAAAATGACATTGTATGTCATATTTTAATAATAAAAAAAGTGACACTTAACTTTAAAAAGTGACAATGAGTCACTTTTTCAATGTCACTTTTTTTTTATTGTCACTTTTTTTAATAAAAAAGTGACAATTAATTTTACACAGTATTTTTTACTTCCAAAATATATTTCATATGATTTTTCATACGATCCTTAATTTTAAGGGTATTTTTGTAAGTTACCCTTGATTCTTGGAATTGGCACTTCTGTAGGCTTATTCATTTTAGGGTTTGGTTAATGCACTATAGTATTTTTTGGCCCATTTATTTCACCACTTAATGTTATATTGCATTGTAAATTAAATTTATTAAGAAAAATTGGAATAATTTCTTCCAATTGATTTATTCGACTAATTTTAAGATACAGAGAACGTAAATGGAGGACATAATGCGTATCGATAATAAATAATTTCAATTGATATATTCAATGCATACTAAGCAAATATAAAGAAATGATGACATTCATGCATGAATGACTATTCTAATTGACATTTTCAA